TTACAGTCCATTATCTCACAATGCCTATTGAAGGTATCCAATTGTCTTATTTAATAAAGTTTATTTTATATTTAAAAAAGACAAAGAAAAATCACAATAAAGAGAAGCAGGTTTTTGTTGCTAACCTTCTGGAACTGTTTGAAAGCTGACATCCATAGTGAATGAGAGTGTGCACCTCTGAAATAAACACAGAGCTATTAGACTTAAATAGGGTCTTCATTTGGATATATAGGCACACATACAGTATATCTGGCAAATGATACAAAGCTATCTGATTGCTGTTACCAAACCAGTATCAGAATAGAGCAGCTATTCTTTTGAGTCTTACAGAAGTTGTTGAGCTAGATGACCTCCTCAGAGTCTTTTCATCACTGTCCACTTATAGCAGTTATGGGGAAAAGCAGAGACTGTATATGTAACAGAATTGATACACCATCATCTGAAATGAAATGCTTTGCTAAAATTTGTGATTAATGTTAGGTACAGTATGTTAACAGCCTACCTAAAGGAAAAGAAAATGAATAATCAATATAGTTGGATGTCCTCCTAGCACCCACAAATGTTGTGGATAAAACAGGAACAGGCGAGAGGGTCACAGGTTCAAAATCAGGGGTCCAGAAAGGGATACCTAACAGATAACCCCTGGACATTGCCCACTGCTCCTCAAAGGTGTAAAGGGAGCCAACAGAGCTGGCCTAGAGGAGCTCTGCCCGCATACGTGAGCCAAGGGAGGGACAAAAGTAGGCGCCACAGTCATAGAGCACCTTCCTATCCAATATCCTTCTCCTGGTTTCCTAGTTGGCCACCGTGACATTGGCCAGCTGCAGAAGGAGTGGATAAGGAGGTCTCGCGACTATCGGGGCAGAGGCTTGATGAAAAGGTCCAGAGGGCCAGGGATGAGGGTTGGGCAAGGAGCACCCTCCTGCAGGCCCAAGAGGTGGGCAATAAGGCTGCCCTCACATTCTGGAGTATGCACCGGGGGGGGGGGAGTTAAAGGGTGGAGAGTAGGCACTGGCCAAGCACCACGGGATCCACCCAGTCCCCCTTGTCATAGTCCAGGAGGTCTCCAAAATTCTGGTGGTTCCTGGACCAACCTCTGGCACACCTAGGATTGTGTAGCAGGGGCTTCATGAGGAGATCTGCCCTCTCAACGGCTGCCATGGACCTGGTTGCCTAAATCAGATTCCAGATCCCAAGGAGGTCCTGATAGAAGACAGGCAGCTCAGGGAGGACTCATGGAAGACCCCTCTGATGGAGATAAAAGAGCTGCCAGTCATGTCGAAGCCCTCAGAGGCGGCAGAGGAAGGTGTGCGCCAACATGCTCCACACTGGACTATCTGCACCATAAAGGAGTCTCTGCAGGGCCTGGAGGTGGAAGACATGGACCTGACTGCAGAGGCAGAGCAGGCCTTGTCCTCCCTCCTGCAGGGGAGCTGGGCAAGAATAGCTAAGCCTGCGCTCTGGTCACTGAAGCTGTAATTAATTATTCCAGAGCAGACCTAATTAAGAAGAGTTGCACCTAATTGATGGGCTGAGGAGAACTGAGAGGTGAATTAGGCCATTAGGCAGATGGTACACAAGGCATAGGAAGGAAATGGGATGGGGGAAGCAGGCAGAGAGAGAGGGAGAGCGAGCGAGATTGTTCTTCCCGGCTTGCCTTAGGAGTGAAGAGCTCCCTAGAATTGTAGGTGTAAGGCTCTATAGTGTACAAAGGTGGTGGGAACCAAAATTGTAAGAAAAACTGCACTGGGTGTTTACCAGCAAAAAAGTCTCTGAGCTGTGTGTGGACTTGAGCAGAGGCAGGGATGAGTGGCCCCTGCTACACCATCTTAAACCCTGACCAGTTTCTTAGAGTGTGCCCCTCTTGAGATAATTAAAGGTCACTGCCAACTTTCCTTTCATGAGTTTGAAGGAAACCTGGGCTAAAGAGATTTTTGGAGGGCTCAGATTATACTGAGAGTCCATGTGCAAACATCATAAAAAGAGGAAAAAAGTATACTTCAAAAGAGGTAATGTATTAACATTGCTCTTTACAAAGAAACTGCATTCCTAAAGGGCAATACAAAAATGACCTACTCACTCATCCACTATATCCTATTGTCCTTTTGAGTTTTTGGTTTAATCATAAGCCTCTGTGTCCAGACACCTTGGGTCAGATCCTCACCTAGTGAAAATTGAATACCTGTTGAATTCAATACTTGTAATCTCTAAAATGCCATGTATACCCAGGTGCTTATGAATAACTAATAATTGTGTTAATTCCAGTCCAGCGCTATATTGAGTTGGGTCTGGTCATGACATGAAGTTGAAAGTCCTACACAATTTGAAACAGCAATGTTTTGTTCCTAAAGTTATTTTGAAATAGCTGATTTTCATCAGATGAGATGAGACAAGCAAGTATTCTTTGAGACGCTAACATGAAGAATATTTTTATTCTTCTTTGAGTGATTGCACATGCCCATGTAGGTGTATGTATGCCCCATGAACAGTCATCGGACAACTTTTCCCCTCAGTGGTACCCTTCATGGAAGCTTGAGTACCCTTAGCTGTCTAATGCTACTGCATGCAGGTATACGGGGATGGAACCACCCCTGACCCCCCTAAGTTCCTTCTTACTGCCAGTGACATTTATTGGAGCACTTACAATCTTGCTATCACAAGCTTTTCCCCCCACATTCTTTCTATATAGTTCATTTGTTCTCTTAGTAGCTAGCGAGGTATACAGTATTGTTAGTGATAGATTTAAGTTTTAGGTTCTTTTTAGACCAAATTTGACTCTCAGTACTGGTACCAGAACCCTGCCCTCAAGGGTTTAAGTCCTGCATGTTGTGTGCCAGGCTGAAGACATTCAGAAACCCACACCTCAGCTGTCTAAAATATTTGGGGGAGTCCCACATCAATTATATATGTCATAGTTGTAAAGGATTTAAGCCTCACTTTACCCTGCATAAAGCTTATGCAGAGTAAACTCATAAATTGTTCGCCCTCTATAACACTGATAGAGAGATATGCACAGTTGTTTGCTCCCCCAGGTATTAATACATACTCTGAGTAAATTACTAAATAAAAAGTGATTTTATTAAATACAGACAGTAGGATTTAAGTGGTTCCAAGTAGTAACAGAGAGAACAAAGTAAGTAACCAAGTAAAATAAAGTAAAATGCGCAAATCTATGTCTAATCAAACTAAATACAGATAATCTCACCCTCAGAGATGCTTCAGTAAGTTTTTCTCAGACTGGACACCTTCCAGGTCTGGGCACAATTCTTTCCCCTGGTACAGCTCTTGTTCCAGCTCAGGTGATAGCTAGGGGATTCTTCATGATGGCTCCTCTCTCCCCTTTGTTCTGTTCCACCCCTTTATATATCTCTTGCATAAGGCGGGAACCCATTTGTCCCTCTGGGTTTCCACCCCCCCCCTCACTGGAAAAGCACCAGTTAAAGATGGATTCCAGTTCAGGTGACATGATCACATGTCACTGCAAGACTTCATTGCCCACTTGCCAGCACACACATATACAGGAAGACTAACAGGTAAACACAACCATCTGCAGACAATGGTCCTGGTTAATGGGAGTCATCAAGATTCCAAACCATCATTAATGGCCCACACTTTACATAATTACAAGAGGCCCTCAGAGTTACATTTTATATTTCTAGTTTTAGATACAAGAGTGGTACATTTATACAAATCAGATGATCATACTCAGTAGATTATAAGCTTTGTAATGATACCTTACAAGAGACCTTTTGCATGAAGCATATCCCAGTTACGTTATATTCACTTATTACCATATTTTCTCTAAAACTATCCCAGTTACATTATATTGACTTATTATCAAGTTTTTATAAAACCATATAGACTGCACAACGTCACACAGGTTATATCCACAGGTGCAAGAACGTGTTTCCCCCTGTTTCAACCTGGTGCTAGCAAACTTAATGGGACTACCCTTTGAACCTCTTGCTCCCTTCTCCACCTCTCCATGAAAATGACATTTCTGATTGTGATAACCAGTGAGGGCTTGATTTTCAGCCTGATTTCAACTTGACTCACATTTATTTTTAACACTCAATTATTTATGGGTGCAATATATGCCATTTTCTTGTCTACCTTATTATGCCTGACAATCAGATAACATCTAAACACTACAAACTACAATTGCTGGTTTGACACTACCCTCAACTATATAGGTATGGAAATTGTGATTGTGGAAAAGGAGACTGGCTTTAAAAAAAATGTTTAAGCATTGAGAATAAATTTAGGATCATGGCAGTTTTCTTTTGTGCTGCATGAATAAGTAAATCAATTTTAAAAAGTCTTTGGGGCCTCTATTTTAAACATTTGTAAAACATATATATTTAAAGAACTTTAGTGGGCTATTTCATTTGAACAGAACTAAACAGCCTAAATCCTGTACTTCCACAACACATGGAAGAGAGATAAATATCCACAATGGTTGCAATTAATTATAAAAAAAAAATAGGCACTCTGAATGTCTCAGGGAAATGAAGTACTCTAATTTGCTAAGAAATCTTGGGAAAAGTGATTGCATAATTTAGTATTAATCTACTTTAGATTTTGCAACTGAATTTGATCGATGATCAACTAAATTCTTACAGACTGTGGCAACGTTCCACGAAACGTGTTTTCACATGCAGAAGGCGATGTGTAACTGAATTGTTCCTCCAATGTATTGGAAGTAAACAGTATTTTGTATTCTCTCAATTTCTTCTTCCAACTATTTTCCTGGAACAAATACCTTCAGCTGTGGCCCTACTTGTTAATTGATCCTCTATTTAGGTCCAAATAACCTATATTGATGGGGATTTGAGTGACAGCGTACTGAGTCAGCTCCTGACTCAGAACCTGTGTCAGACTCATGTATTTCACCCAGTTATATGAAGCCTGAAGATTTTAATTAACCAAAACATTTCAATCCTCAGGAAACTAAACTGTGTGCCACAGGCAAAGAATAGGAGACACCAAGGTGTCACCAGTGCCTGAGGATTTCTGCAATAAAAGGGAAGTGAGATAAACCCAGATGATCCCATCAGGCAAACCATGTTCCACATTGCAGAGGAAAGCAACCTCATCTCCCCCGCCCCACACACCACAGGCTTTCTGCTAATCTGACCTTGAATAAAATTCCTTCTCAACCCCAAATGTGGCAATCAGCATGGGAGTAAGACTCACCAGTCAGACAACTAGAATGGATTATCTGTACCATTTCAGAACACTGGTCCCACCTTACCTGGTATTCCATCTCCAGATGTGGCCAATCTCTGATTTGTCAGAAGAAGAGGGTAAAAAAACAGATTACATCTATTCAATTGTGCATTATGGAAAAAAATCCTTCCTGACCCCTGTGGGTGACAGGTTAAAGCTCTTAAACACGACATTTGATTTTCTATAGTAGAGCACACTAGGTCCTTCAAGAGCACATGCTGCTATATCAGGTGTTATTGGAACTTGACCCTTCATGACAATGGAATGCTGGGAGATGTAGTGCCAGAGAGATCAGGAGGCCAAGTGGCTTAATGTGACTAGGCATGGATTACATAATCCGTTGCTACTGCCTCAGAAGGGGAGAGCTCAGGTTTCACCTTAACCTGAAGAAGGGTTCTCTGTTAAGAAAGTTAGGGAAACAGTGAGCCCAGAAAGGGGGTTGATGGACAAGCCTGAGAGGCGACAGGACTTTGAAAGACACCAGGGATGAGGAAGATAGAAAGAGACCTGAGTCAGTATAGCACGGTGTGAGATAGAGGCCACACGGTGTGGTCTTTATTTAGGGGACTCAGGCTGAAGGCCTCCATCAAGGTGGGGGAAGCGAAGAAGTTCCTCCTTTAAAACCTGCAGCACCAGGGTAAAGAACCATTGAATTTGTGAAGAAAAAGACTATTGATTAAACCCAGAGAGAGAGAGGAATACTCCTACTGAAGTCCAGGGAAGAAAGTCATAGCCCAGGAAGGGCAAATGAACCATTTATCCCCAGGCAGGTGAGCTTGCACCAACAGGGTGATTGTGTTTTGTTTTGTTTTTTTGTTTTTTTCTATTTGGTTGATAGCTGGGGGGAGAAGGGAGAGATGCGCATGAGCTTGTTGCAGCAAGCAGTGTGATCTGTTTCTTCCATTTACCATTGGTATTACTGACAACAATGAATACTGGTTGTTGTGGGTCACTGTTATATGGCACACAGATTTCTATGACACATTGTGACATATGCAAATCTGTATGGCTGCACATGTTACACAATAATCTGCCATGAAACAAGCAGCATGAATGAGTAATCAATATATATAAATTACTGGAATTCATAACTATTGAATGGATAAAAGGCCTCAATGGATTTTAGCTTTGCTCGTGGTCCCAGCGCTTTTGTTTTTTGATGTGCTCACTGGTGTCAGTGCAAGTGACTAAGAAAAATAAATGGGCAATATAAAAATATAATGTGTTATTTTAAAGAGATTCTTTACCTGGACAACCAGAGCCATTCAGTTTAGTTATCCATTTTCTGGAAAAAAAGACAAATCTTTGGCTCTCTCTTGTGATTCTGATGTTCTAATGTAACATGTTTTTAAAAGCTAATCAAATTAAGTTTGTATCCCTTTTTACACCCTGTAGGTGTTAAATATCCACTCCAACTAACTTAACAGAAAATACACATATTTCACCAGTAGTTATTTGTACGGGGAAAAAAAAAAACAATACCAGATAAAACTAAACAAGAAGGTTTATCCTAATAATAACTAATTACAGGACATGTAGCTTCTCATATCCATTCTTGTTACATCTAGATGCTCTTATCTTTGATATGTAAAACTTTTCAACATTTATTTACCCCTCAGACCTTTGAGCCAAGGTCCTCACAGGGGCCACACAGAAATTACAGGACCAACCGTTTGTTTCTTCAGAATTCCCACACTGGGGCAAAGTAAAACCCATCCTTCCAAGGCAGTAAATCAATAGCTTTTTGATGGCCAATTCTGCCACCAGCCAAACGTTTTATTCTAAATTTTGCACCCATCAATATATAAGGAGTCATCCTGTGGAGTTACAGGACCTGATTTTGATCTCACAGCATTTTACATGAGTTTAACTTCACTGATTTCAATGGAGTTATTTCTGATTTACATGAGATCTGAATCAGGTTAATAAGGGTAATTCCTATTAACTGTTTTAGGACTGAAGAAACAGGCACACTCAATCTTCACATGCCAGGAGGATAATAGGTTTTTATTTGTTTATTTTGTTTTGGGTTTTTTAGTTTTGGAACAAAATGTTGGAAAAACAGTAAAACATGGAAATTTTCAGGTATATCTAAGGATCTGAAATCACGTTACTAATATTAATGAATCAAGTTTCCCATCAGAAGCAACCTCAGCAGCTGGGAACAGACAAATAGAGAGGAAGGAAGCCCTGGATAGGGGGTGGAGAGCCTGAAGGAAGGCAGAGTTGGTTGCTGCTGCTAGTGTAACCCACACACCTCCTGGGTGTGGTGCTCTGTCCCATCTAGTGGCATCGAGACCACTTAGAAAGAGAGATAAAATGAGTCTGCTCTACAGCCTTACCTAATAGCCAACTGGCTTTTAGCTTATGCTGTAGAGGCTCATGCACTAAGCTCCAGAGATCCCCAGTTCAATCCTGCCCATCAACGACCGGGTTCTGTCAGCGTTAGAAGCAGGGGGTTGTCCGGGATTTCAACTGGGAAGTCTCTTAAGCTGGGGATGCACTTCCTCAGCTAGGGGAAGTATGTAACCCACACACCTTCTAGGTGTGGCGTTCTGTCCCATCTAGTGATACCGAGAACGCCTCGAGAGAGAGGTAAATGAGTCTGCTCTACAGCCTTAACTAACAGCCAGTTGGCTTTTAGCTCATGCTGTAGAGGCTCATGCACTAAGCTCCAGAGGTCCCCGTTTTGACCCCGCCCATCGATGACCGGGGTCTGTTGGCGTTACATTAGTACTGCTCCCTTTCTCCCCAGAAGTAAGAGGGGGAGCTGACTGAGGATGGAAATATGTAAATAGTGCTGCTAGAACACTATAATAAAGTACGGTGGCAATGAAGGTGGCCTGCAGAGAATATGGTTTGTACCTAAAGTGAGAGAGGCTCACAGGGGACCACTCTGTGACAATGAGGTTAGATTAGATAATCTGGTGGTCCCTTCTGGCTTTAACTGTATGGAACTATAGTATTGTTTGCTCCCAAAACATATTCATTACTGTACTGATAGCTCAAGAAGGTTATAAGGCCAGGGTTTTCATGTTGTTGTATATATAAACTGTCCCCTCAGATGTTCAGCAGCTTTTTGCATAGCATATTCTATAGTCCCTAGCAGGGATTATCCTGAGATAATATAGAAAGGCTGGACTTTGATACAATGAAGAATCACTGGCTTCAAGAGAAATACAGAATGCCAGAGCATGTAACTGTTAGTTGGAAGCCGTTTACACTGGGCATGAAGGAGGTGGGTAACATGGAAAGATATCAAGCAAAGGTGGTTTTGGTTTCTTTCTTTCTTTCTTTCTTTCTTTCTTTCTTTCTTTCTTTCTTTCTTAATGACTTTCAATATATCAGTTTATTATTGTTTGTTGAGAAGTCTGAAAATATTAGCTTCATTAGTAGGGAGCTGGCACTTTGCAGACAACACAATTGAGAAGTTGGTAGGACAAGTCAGCATCTCAGAATGGTTTCTTGCTTTTAGATATCTTTTTATTTTGTTGTGAGTGATTATAGGAAATGTGTGTATGAGGTTGCATAAGAGTTTTCATACCCTACATCCCCTTTGTTATGGGTTATATTTGTATTTGTGGTTAGAGAAGGAACTGGAGAGGTGTTGGTCCACATCACCCTTTATACCCTCGGTTTGGAGCAAGAAGACAACAACTGTGTATGTGTGGACCAACAGACACTGCTTACTAAAAGTCTCCAGACTCAGGTGCATGGTGCACATGTGAACCCCCATTTGGAATGCAGGTAAGGCCTACACATCTCTGGGGGGAAAGGTGGTGACCACAACACTGGTTGACTGAAAGAAGGGAAAGGAAGGAGCTTCACCATCAAGGCTGCCACACTCACTGTGTCTCCTGGGATCCTGGACCTTCTTTATCCTATCCTGAGAGATGTCCTAGTGAGAGTAAGCCAGAGAAAGGGAGCCAAATGACACTGCCTCCTCCACTGCCTTCGGCTAAATCCCAAACACCACCTGGGATGTGAGACTTTGGCTTGGTCTACACTTACCCCCCAAGTCGAAGTAAGGTACGCAAATTCAGCTACGTGAATAACGTAGCTGAATTCGACATACCTTACTTCGAACTTACCGCGGTTCAGACGCGGTCCACACGCGGCAGGCAGGCTCCCCGTCGACTCCGCGGTACTCCTCTCGTTGAGCTGGAGTACCGCAGTCGACGGCGAGCACTTCCTGGTTCGATTTATCGCGTCCAGACCAGACGACGCGATAAATCGAACCAGGAAGTTCGATTTCCAGCCGCCGAACTAGCGGCTAAGTATAGACCAGCCCTTTGTCTCTCCCACCCTCCTCCCAATGCGTCCTTTTTCCTTCCCTACCTAATTTCTTATTTCTTCTCTTTTCCATCTCTCTACTTTTGTCTAATAAGAGTGTGGCTCAGCTGTCCAAAACTGTCTTCTGTGACATGCAGCTAAAAGCAATGTCCTAAACAGTCTGGGCAAAATTCCCAGATTTATCTAATAAGAATGAAAGTGTGCCCCCTGTTACAGTACAGCTCAGCATGGAAACACAAGTGTTTTGTTTGTTTGGTTGGTTTTTTATTTTGTTTTACTTTCTGGCCTTCAATGATGTAGACTGGATTGTGGGAGAGGCACATTTTAAATATCACTCCAGAACAAAAGACAGTCATTCCTTCCCAGAGGTCATTAAATAGAGAATAGATTGTAATGAGGGAAATGCACTATGATCAGTAACAGAGGGGTAGCCGTGTTAGTCTGAATCTGTAAAAAGCAACAGAGGGTCCTGTGGCACCTTTAAGACTAACAG